CAACCACAATCTGCCTTAACCATAAAACCACCCTTCCCTCTTTGGCAATTCAGAAAGCAGAAGTGCCCATTCTCACTTCGGTGTCTAAACCCGAGAGGTAGACAAGAAAATTAATTAAAATCGTAATTAAATGTAAAATAATGAAGGGAGGATGGAGAGAAAAGGAGGGGACAAAAGTCAGAGAAGCAAAACGGGCAGGAAGAGGCAGAGATGAGTGCAGGCATGTGTGGGAGAGGCTGGGAAATGAAAGCCAGAGATAAACAACATTTAAGAGTGAATTTAGGCAAATAATTATTAAGTGTTGGAAAATTTAAACAAAAGCTACCTGAAAATGAAAAAGTCCAAAAAAACCCGACAAAAAGGAAGTGAATGGGAATGTTTCATAGTTAAGTTTAACCTACGTTTAGAATCAGTCTTGTAGTGTTAATTTAAATAACATTTGATGGCTCATTAAATATATAAAGTAGCTATTCTGCATCTGCTAGACTTTGTGTCCCTTATTTAGAAGATTTACATGAAAACATTACTTTTGTTGTGAAATTTACAGCACAGATTGTTCTCGTGCCAGTGATTTTATATTGAAAAAGGGAAAGGTAGTGTAGACAGACAGACAGATATAAGCAAAACTGAGCATTTGTAGAATTGGGTTTTTTTATATTTGCCTATGACCCATCCCCAGCACTTTAATACTTTTTATGCCAGCAACAAAGGATCTAATTTATATTGCTCTTTTAGAAGCTTATCAGCCTCAGGGGGTAAGTATGAATGTCCATGATATATGGATTTTTGACCGTGCAGTCCTGAAAAATGCAAACATCCTCCAGTCATTTCTTTGGTCAGGATATCTATTTTCTTGTTCTTCTCTGAATGTTATTTTAGGCATCTTTCTTCACCTCTTTGTACTTGAAAAGGAATTTAAAAAAAAATAATCTTAATAGACATAGCTGTATGTCCATTTGTCCCTTACTTCCTGCATATTAGCAAAATATAGTGTTGAAAAAATCTTAGTTATCAATGTTTCAGCCTGACCTGGAAAGCCTTTAAAAAACCACAGCAGATACAGAAATGGTTTAGAGATGAACAAATAAATCCTAGAGGCCTGTCTGAGAACACTAAAAACCAGTTCAGTGCAGAGGGGGGACAGAGAATTGGGAAGAGAGCAATGTGGGAAAAGAAAACCAGACATCTTCCTTTCATAAATACAAAACTGAGAGTGAGAGTTAGAGTATTTAGAACATGACAGGACCTCAATGTAAAAGTATTATATAGAAATCATTGTTCACTGCTACAGAGCACATATATAAATAATACAGTTTTTAACATAAATATATCTAGACTAAGGCTTTAATTTCAAATTAAAAGAGTTACAAACTTCAGAGCATCGGTAACTGTTGTTCAGTGGCCCAGTAGCCTTCCTGTCATTGACAGCTTCCAGTTTGCAGTGAACTGGGTGAAAGACACAATCCCCTACTAAGGATTTCAGCCTCATAAACACATTGCAGCTGCGGATGGTCTATGGAGTTCAACTTCCATTTGATGCAGAAGGGGAAAGCAAGCCTACATTCTAAAAACTGTTTGTTCTTAAGATTTAACCTGCTTTTGGAAATCTTAATTTTGTATTTACCATTTTGAAAAATACTTGTTGTGGAGGATTAGGATTCAGTTCTTTCTTAGCGTGATTGTTATGAACCAGAAAAGGGGTTGCTGGGAATATGTTTTGACAATTAATGTGCAGCAATACTGTGGACTGCCTACAAAAAAAAGTAGTTTGTTTTCTGAAATGGCCCCATTATAGAAGTTTTCAGTGCACATCTTTCAGTATTTTCTTAACAGTTGACTAAGCATCAAGAAAGAACACACTGCAACAAATTCTGGGCCATCTCTTCATATAATGAGGCCTTCTAAAGTAGATGCTAATGCAGCGCCTTGCATTTACATCAAGAAGTTGCCAAAATAATTCCGCACACAGCAAATCAATCATTTTAAATGGTATTTAAAGAATAGGTAGCTTTGTGGAAATAATAAGTGCCCGGGTTCGAACAGCGTGATTTATTGTGTCGTTTTTTGTTTGCTTTAAAAAGGTTAATGGCAGAAACCTCCTTTCAGTTGACTTTGATCGAACCACAAAGACAGAAAAGATCTATGACGACCACCGTAAATTCCTGCTGAGGATTGCCTACGACACGTCGGGCCACCCCACCCTGTGGCTGCCCAGCAGCAAGCTGATGGCCGTCAACGTCACCTACTCCTCCACGGGTCAGATCGGCAGCATTCAGCGAGGCACCACGAGTGAAAAGATAGAGTACGACGGCCAGGGGAGGATAGTGTCCAGAGTGTTCGCCGATGGGAAAACCTGGAGTTACACCTACTTGGAAAAGGTAAGTAAAGAACACTCAGGTTTTTAAAAAACGCTTTGGATGGGCTGAAATTCTGCAGCATCTGGCCGCTGCACGCAAAGCGAGAGCCAAAGCAGGTAGGAGAAGTGCATTTCAATTATTCTAAGTATCAACATGTGATTCCTAGGGGAATGTTTTATATACAATAGATATGTAATCACGCTGTAGCTAATTGCTAGGAATTGATGTCTTTTTAAATTATTTAGGCCACTGACTAAGAAGAAGCATCGGTATTTACCTTTTATCTTAACACTTAAAATAAGGTTCAGGGACTAGATCTCTGCAGCGTAATTCAGTTGGAAATAATTTGTTTGTAAATTCTTCACTGTTGTGTTTTTCACTGCCAAGAAAAGCTCTTGCTTCTAAATAGTTTCAGCTGTCAATTTGTACTTGCTGTATGTTGTAGCATCAAAATAAATGATAGGGAAAAGATCAGGGATCTTCATTATGTGCAGCGATTGCTGAAATACAGCTCTCCCTCTAGAAATACCTGTGAAAATCCCCCTTGTGAGATCTCATGCCTGCTCTGCACAAAGACAATCCATTTCTTTCTGGGGTTTAAATATACATTCTATTGAAGCTGCTGCTCAGCAAATACTGTTTTGTAGTCATTGCAGACGTAATGTAATCAAGACCTACGATACATAATAGCCACACATCAGAAAAATATCAGAGTAACTCCAAGTAGCTCCTTGTGATATAAATAATCAAACAATTGTTTTGCCTATGTCTTAAAAGCTTACAGAACAGGAACACGGTATTCAGGGATCTGGGGCTATTGAGATTCTTCAAAATCATCTCTAATTGTAGGGAAGAAATTGTATCTCCCATATGCTGTTCTCCTCGTGAGTTAATGGCTCTAAGACAGTTTTACTTCTTCCCATATTAAACATGACTTATCTGAATCCATTGACAATCTGCTGTTTAGCTGTGAGTGCTTGATAAAAGAGTGATACAGTCATAACAAGTAGCAAATTATGAATGTGGAACTACTAATTACAGAACCCCTTACAATTAAGCATCCAAGTAAATTAGGCAGGGAGATGTTAACAACATGTAAGGTCAAGGATAACTCAATTAAAGAGGAGATAATTTTCTCAAGTGGGAATGTCACATTTTTGCGAAGAAATAGGATCAGTATACGGGGGAGAGGGGGGGAATGTGGGGGGGTGTAATCCACCGTTTGTCACATGGTAAAAATCTGTTCTTAATTTTCAGTCAATGGTTCTTCTGCTCCATAGCCAACGGCAGTATATCTTCGAGTATGATTTGTTGGATCGGCTTTCCGCTGTCACCATGCCCAGCGTTGCCCGTCACACCATGCAGACCATCCGCTCCATCGGCTATTACCGCAATATATACAACCCCCCGGAAAGTAATGCTTCTGTCATAATGGACTACAACGAGGAAGGGCAGCTCCTCCAAACTGCCTTCCTGGGGACGAGCCGCAGAGTATTATTCAAGTACAGACGGCAGACCAAGCTCTCTGAAATTTTATATGATAGCACGAGAGTTAGTTTTACTTACGATGAGACAGCGGGAGTCCTGAAAACGGTAAACCTCCAAAGCGATGGTTTTATCTGCACCATTAGGTACAGGCAGATTGGCCCACTGATTGACAGGCAGATTTTCCGCTTTAGCGAGGACGGAATGGTGAACGCCCGCTTTGACTACAGCTACGACAACAGCTTCAGAGTCACCAGCATGCAGGGCGTCATCAACGAGACCCCGCTGCCTATCGACCTCTACCAGTTCGACGATATCTCTGGCAAAGTCGAACAGTTTGGAAAATTCGGAGTTATATATTATGATATTAACCAGATCATCTCGACGGCCGTGATGACCTACACAAAACACTTCGATGCGCACGGTCGCATCAAGGAAATTCAGTATGAAATATTCCGGTCGTTAATGTATTGGATTACAATTCAGTACGATAACATGGGACGAGTGACAAAAAGAGAAATTAAGATCGGGCCGTTCGCCAACACCACCAAATACGCTTACGAATACGATGTAGACGGTCAGCTCCAGACAGTTTATCTGAATGAAAAAATCATGTGGCGGTACAACTATGACCTGAACGGCAACCTCCACTTGCTCAACCCCAGCAGCAGCGCCCGCCTGACACCGCTTCGCTACGACCTGAGGGACAGAATCACTCGGCTGGGGGATGTGCAGTACCGACTAGATGAAGACGGGTTTCTGCGTCAGAGGGGGACTGAAATCTTCGAGTACAGTTCAAAGGGCCTCCTGACTCGAGTTTATAGCAAAGGCAGTGGGTGGACGGTGATTTACCGGTACGACGGGCTCGGACGACGAGTTTCCACTAAAACTAGCCTTGGACAGCATCTCCAGTTTTTTTACGCAGACCTTACTTACCCGACCAGGATAACTCATGTATATAACCACTCCAGTTCGGAAATCACCTCTCTCTACTACGACCTGCAAGGACACCTCTTTGCCATGGAAATCAGTAGCGGAGACGAGTTTTACATCGCGTCGGACAACACGGGGACACCGCTGGCTGTTTTCAGTAGCAACGGCCTCATGCTCAAACAGATTCAATACACTGCTTACGGGGAGATCTATTTTGACTCTAACCTTGATTTCCAGCTGGTTATAGGATTCCACGGAGGCCTGTACGACCCACTGACCAAGCTAGTCCACTTCGGAGAGAGAGATTACGACATACTGGCAGGCCGGTGGACGACACCCGATATTGAAATCTGGAAGAGAATTGGGAAAGATCCAGCTCCTTTTAATTTGTACATGTTTAGAAATAACAACCCAGCCAGTAAAATACACGACGTGAAGGATTATATCACAGGTAAAAGGAGGTTACTTAATTGCAAGACTGTCTCAGATTTGTTCAAAAATTTACCTTTCCGTGTTCTCTCTCTGGAATCTGATTATCTGGGTTACAGGATGAGGATATTGTCTGGGGAAGATTCATTAAGAAACTCTCAGGAAAGCTAATTGTTCAGAAAAGTACTTGATGTTTAGAAGCAGATCAACAAAGTGATTTTAGCTTGGGGGCGCTGGACCTATAGACATCCAATTTAGACTGGAATTCACAGTTCTGGTGAAGTACCTAAATACGTCCTATTTAGAAAAGTTGTTTATGAGGAAGCATTAAGAACTTAACAATGAGAATAATTACAGCAAACACACTTATCAGGAATAGTGAAATAGTAAATGGGAGATCATGGAAATAGCTCATCTAGGTTTAGACATTAATTAGAAAGACCAAAGGCAAGAGGGAGAGTGTAAGGTAGCAAGGACAGGAGGGGTCTTTCTGTGGCCAAGTGACTTCATTAACGTGGCAGCAACTATTCACTGCAGGTTGGCTGATATTTTCCAGGATAAGTTTTTGCAAGGCTACAAATGTAATTTGGCTAAGAAAGTGAAGTCCAATGAGCTCCAGAGCCAGCACAAAGCAGTGAGTATGCAGCCAGGAGCAGGGAAGGAGCAGGATATACAAAAAGGAGCGTGAATTTATTTCAGCAACAGCAAGCTGCTATCGTGCTGCTTCTTGTGTAACTGAGTTCTCAGGGAACCCACATGCTTTTTGTGGCTCTAGAGTTAGTGATGTGGAGTGTTTTCCATTATTCTACATACAAAAACAATCAGAGTGCACGTCACCAGAAGTTTCTGAAAAAATGCATGGCTCAGATACATTTGAATTTTCATATTTGAATAGATGTAAAGAATCTGAAGTATTTTACCCAGGCAGTGCCAGATTACAGGTGGGGCTCAGCCCCACTTACTTAGGAGCTGGGAGACTACCGCTCAGAAAAGCATCCTGGGAATCAAGTGGGCTTGCATTAATTTAACAGCAGTTATTAACAGGGTTGCTAACGTGCTGCCTGGGAGCAAGGATAATAACAGACCTTTGAATCTGTCCTCTTTTAGCAGCATGTGCTGTAGGGGATGCAGTTGCAATCAGATTCTTTGTGGCATTGAAAATGATGCACTTAGTTCAAGAATTGCCCTCAAAATACAGTTTTAGCTCTTTTCTTAGCATCTTTGATGTATGGAATACATAGACACACACTGCTCATCTAAGGTTATCATTACAAAGAGCAGTTTGGCTGACTGGCAGTTTTAGTCGCAGAGCCTCATGAGGCACATCATTTATCTGGGAAGGTTAGAAATTATTTGAAGGTAAATATTTTTTATTCTTTTAACATTCAGAAAAAAATGTTTCCTTGTTCCACATTTGAGTTTTTCTTAAATGAAAACTACTAGACTTGGTAAGGAGCGCTCTGCCAACCTCTGCTAAGCTTAGTATTTGTTAGAGACAGGGTAGAAAGCCAGAAACAAGGCAGAACACCCACTCTTGCCCAACAATTGTTAACTAATTGATTGTTGGCATCCCTAATTCATTTATTTATTTCTAACAGAACATAAAATTTATCTAATGCTAATTTAGAATCCTGTCTGCTTGCTGATGCAACTGTAATACATTTGATTAGTTTTTCATCCCATCAGTCCAACCTCATCTTGAAGCGGGTGAGATTTCTCTTGAATTAACATAAAATACCCTCCAAATCATTTAAAAGGTAATTGGCTGTAGGGGTGTTACTTCAGGGGTAGTTTGAAAACATTCCAATAACACATACATAACAAAAGGACAGGATGTGCTCTGCAGTACTTGTTTTTTTGCTTTGTTTTAAAGTATTGATGATGAAGGTGCAAGATAGAGCACCTGTTCAGCCTGAACAGTGTTCACGTGTTCAGCCTGACCATAAAGTCCCAATTAGTTTAGGCTGTATTAGAAGGAAATCTCACTCTAATTGTGCTCGTGTAATTGTTCTGGAAGTCACCGAGGCCTTCAGAATTGCCAAAACTCGAATGCCTTTCAAACAAGCATAGTGTCATTCCTACATAGAAAAGAGGTTTTCTTCTAAGTTTATAACTTCAAGTTTACTGCCCAGGCTTGCAGTTTTAGCTGTAGGACAAATCTAAATCCATCCATATCAAAATGAAGACTGTTGAATAATTTTCATGTTACAGAAGGAAATCAACTGTGCCAAAAACTATATCATGTAAAAACGTTATAATTGCAAAATATGGAACAATTCTAATATTTTTCTCTCTCTTTTTTTTTTTTTTTTTTAATAATTCTCTTGCAGATGTTAACAGTTGGCTGGTGACGTTTGGCTTCCATCTGCACAACGCCATTCCTGGTTTCCCTGTTCCAAAATTTGATTTAACAGAACCTTCTTATGAACTTGTGAAGAGCCAGCAATGGGAGGACATACCGGTAAGAAACAAAACTAGACATACAAATGGGACAGGACAGAATGTCCCCTTCTATTCAGATCTTATTAGAGATGGGTAATCCTGACAGGGTTACTTGCTAAGTTAAATCTGAACAGTGCTTTTCAAACCTCTTAGTTTTTATCTACTTTCAAAAGAATTTAAGAAATTACAGATGGTGGTTTTTTCTTATAGATTTGCTAAGTTAGGTACCATTTTCAATAAGCTCTTGTTTGCTTTCAGCATGAATAAAAATGCAGAAAGACAATAATCAATAAAAGAAGTAGAAGACCTTTTAAAGATGTCTGAGTTTCGTAGCAGAAGCTACAGAGATTAGATTTGTACTGACACTCTGCCTGAAGGCAGAAACTGAACACTGTAGTAAAAAATAGACTGTGAAATAAACAGAAGAACAGGTGATATAAATTATGCATAACAGGCACCACTACAATTTTACTTCTCTTTAATATTAACCATGTTTTATATGTAAAGATAAAATATTGAAAATGAAATTACCTGAGGTAAAATCCATTCCATCACATAAAACCAAAACTCCAGGTGCTTATGAAGTTCTTTGGGAGCTAAAAAATGAACTTCAGCCCTGAAAACCTGCTACAGTTTTAAATAATGGAAGAAATCAATGTGGAAGTTAAAATCTATATCTGCTATTTGAGAAATTATATTTACAAATTAAACTTACTCAAAGATCAAAGACCCGTGCCTTCAAAAATCCTACAGTTCTCAGTTAAGATAGAAGTGTTAAGATACAGCAAAATGGGTAATCCCATTGTGAGTAGTCAAAACCAGATCTCTTTTAACAAGGATCACAATACAGAACTTTATGAGATTAAAAGAGGATATGATCTTAAAGAACCTTACAACCTAATTTAGACAAAAAAAAAAACATTAGAAGGGTGGCCCAGCAGAAGGTTGCATACGGAAGTTAATTTTGCCTGCACCAAGTGACCTGCTATATATATATTTTTTTAATAGCCAGGGATTGAGTAACAGGGAAAGGCTGTAGAGCACAGCATGAGAATAGCATCCCCCGTGAACAGCAGGAGCAGTGAAGGAGCAGCCCTGCAAGTACTCCAGGCAAGGTGGTTGTATCAGGAGATAAGAGACCTGTCATCAGGCACGGCTGTGAGGAACTATCCGAGGTTATTTATTTAGATCTCTAAAGAATGCAGTGACCCACTAACACCGACAAAGGCGCATCAGGAAAAGAACCAGTCTGGTCAAAGAGATGAGAGCAGAAGGGGAGTTTTCAAAAATCTTCCCACAAGAGCTCAGCAGTGTGAGGAGTGACAGGGGCACGTGACATGACAGAGAGAGAGAGATGCAGAAGGAACAGAGATTCAAAATTCTCAGGTAGGAAGAAGATGTGACTGTGATATTCACTATTGAACAAGCAAATGCAATTGGGAGCCAGAAGTAAACACACAAACCACTTAGTATTTTGAAACATTCTGGAGTGAGTGAGCTTTACTGAGCTCTGAGACTTTGCTTTAGAGCTCTGAGGATGCATGTTAAAAATAAACAAACTTTGTCATTATGAAGTTGCTACAGCCTCTCGCTGCTCTCACTGATGAGTGTGCTGTCTAGAATATATTTTTGGGCTCAATACCTTTCATGTAGGATTTACAGCAGCTGAAATCCATACTCGTTAGCAAGCGCAGTCAGGAATCTGCCACGGTGGAGAAGAGTTGAGAGTCCAAGTCAATTCGTAATTCCCTCAGGAACTGTCCCCTCCAGAAAGCCACCCTTGTGGCAGAGCAGAGAAGCCTTTGCAGCCCTTCTGCCAGGCTTTGATTAGCAGCAAGGCTGAATTAAGCTCATAGGAGTCTGTTAATGACTGCTGCTTGGTCTCTCACCAAGAAATTCGGGAAAACTAAACAGGCTTTTTTTGCTTCGTTTGTCAGTAATGAATCAAGTGGGTTAAACAGTATTTTTACTGAAGGGAGAAGGGGTCAATTGGAAGATAAACTGCATCATCTACAGAAACCAAAAGTACTCCTTTTCAAAAGTGCAGCCAAAGCTATTTAAATCTTTCTCTCAGTTTCCTGCTGAGACAACTGCTAGGGCAGCTGTCTGCTCCCCACCTCCCTCAACACCAGCTCATTCACAGCTTAGGGCTGCTGAGACCCAGGGTTAGGCAGGTAAGATCTGCCTCTTCTGCACAGCTCCAGGGCCTCACCCCAACCACAGCTCATCCCATAGCGTGAGGCTGCCCCACTGACCCCACAGCAGTTCTGCTGTCAGGTCCCCACTTACCCTCTCTCTTCACCAAGAGTCCACCTGGCTGGGCTCCACCATACTGGGCTACACAGAGCTCTTAACAGTCAAAAAAACTTTTAAAATGGATTCTCCTGTCCTAGTTTTTCCATTCTGTGCTTCTGCACCTCGTTTCCTCCCCTTTATAGCACACCTACCTTTTCAGTAAGAACACCCCAGATATGCTAAAAAATTAAATACCAAGCCGAGCATACTACTTCAGATTTTCTTTTCACTCATTGCCCCTTCTCTTTGTTTGCCATCAACAAATCACTGCTGTTTTCAGGACTGCACCCCACTGAATTTCTCGGGGGAGAAGTTGCTCATCCCTTTTAGGCAGCGTGTTGATACCTGCAGTGAAATAGAAGCTCACACAACTTAATTTTTCACACAGCTTTTTCACACATCCCCTTTTATCAGTTCCTGCAATATTTTTTTTTTTTGGAAGAAAGGGCATCAGTCCCCAATATTCCACCCTTCTGCTCTGCACCATTTGCTTCCTTCTCTTTTACTGTAAAGACTATCATTACAGTTTGATTTCCCCCCTCTTCCTTTAGCAGCTTGAGGGGTTACGAGAGCCTCCCTGCAGCTTGGTCTCAGAGAGACTCTCATCTCCTGACGCAGCGTAAAGAAGGGCTTGTTCCTCTTCTAAAGCTCAGCTTCGTGACCTGCAAAAATCTCCTCAGTTAGGCTGGACCCATGGTAGACAGGAATCAGTGGAAGCAGCTCAGAGGATGAGATGACACCGCAGTGTGATAGCTCTTACCCATATTAATTATTAGTATTGAAAAGGTCTGTCCTGTGCACCCCAGTAAGTAGCCTCTGAAGTTTTACCTCATTTTTGTGCAGGTTCTCGGGTAGACAAAAAGCACTGAACATTATCAAACAAAATAATCTTGTAACTCAGCAGAACAAGCAGTACATAGAGTATGTAGATTTAATTAACTCCTTGGCACTGTCAGTTGTGGCATATCCTGTTGTCGTCCACGGGCAGCACACCAAGCGAGCCTGGCTGTTTGGCATCTAGAGGGCTACAGATGGCTGGTAAAACTTCTGTCTGTTCTTGTTTACAGCCAATTTCCGGAGTGCAACAACAAGTGGCGAGACAAGCAAAGGCTTTCCTTTCCCTGGGGAAGATGGCAGAGGTGCAGGTCAGCAGACGGAAATCCGGCAGCGAGAAGTCGTGGCTGTGGTTTGCCACGGTGAAGTCTCTGATTGGGAAAGGGGTGATGCTGGCTGTCAACCAAGGCAAAGTGCAAACAAACGTGCTCAACATCGCCAACGAGGACTGCATAAAAGTGGCAGCAGTTCTGAACAACGCCTACTACCTAGAAAACTTGCATTTCACCGTCGAGGGCAAGGACACGCACTATTTTATCAAGACCACCTCCCCCGAGAGTGACCTGGGGACGCTGAGGCTGACGAGCGGGAGGAAGGCCCTGGAGAATGGCATCAACGTCACGGTTTCCCAGTCCACCACGGTGGTGAACGGCAGGACTCGTAGGTTTGCCGACGTTGAAATGCAATACGGCGCTTTGGCGCTTCACGTCCGCTACGGCATGACGCTTGACGAGGAGAAGGCCCGGATACTGGAGCAAGCCAGGCAAAGAGCTCTTTCCAGCGCCTGGGCCAGAGAACAACAGAGAGTCAGAGACGGAGAGGAAGGCGCCAGGTTGTGGACAGAAGGAGAAAAGAGGCAGTTGCTCAGTGCTGGGAAGGTACAAGGATACGATGGGTACTATGTACTCTCTGTGGAGCAATATCCGGAATTAGCAGACAGCGCTAACAATATACAGTTCCTCAGACAAAGCGAGATAGGAAAGAGGTAACACACTGGCTTAGCTCAGGCTGCCAAAGAGACTGTCTACCAGTGTCTTCTACAAAGGAGACCAAACTGTTTTGCTGCATTACTACTTGAGCCTAAGCTTACATCTTTGCTCAGATTTTTTTCTGTAGCACAATCCAAACAGACTCTGTAAGAAAAAAAGAGCGCCTTCCGGAAGAATGATACTGCTAATGACAAAACTTTTTTGTTTTTTGTTTTTGTTTTTCTCAATGACCTTAAAGGTGATCTGCTTTAAAGAATATGTTTACATATGCATATCGCTGCACTCGAGTTGGACTGAAAAGTATTAAAAAAAAAAAAAAAAGAAAAAAAAAAAGAAAAAAGGCCTACAGATTTTGCAACAGGCTGTCTGGTCCTTTGAGGCACTGTATTTAATAAAGATACAGACCCATACAGTGTTTCCAAATATTACTGAATTGTTGACCTTTGCTTACCAGAAGTAGTCTCTCTCTCTCTCTCTTTCTTCCTCTCTCTTTCTCACTGCATAGGATGTGGTATATATCTGTTAATTTTAAAAAAAAAAACAAACGTGGGGCAAAAATTACTGTTTATAGACAACCCAACTGCTTTAAACTGTGCTGCTTTCTAAAAGGACATTGGCACAAGTGACTTATGCTACCATGGGAATTTAATAATGGATTTTACAATGCTAACATGGTTTGCCTTGGGGGGAAAATGGCAAGTAGAATCCTTGTTGCAGATAAGCAAAGGAAACCCTGATTTTTTTGTAAATTATGTGAGACAAGTTGTTTATGGATTTTTATATGAATTACAATTTACTGTACATCAAATATTAGTCTCAGAGGAGTTAATTTATGTAAAGTGTTTAAAAAAGTTTATACTTAAAAATAAAATGATAAAAACATGTGCTGTGTGTGATTTTTTTAAAGAAAAAGGAATTGCACCTTTTATGTTATAGCTGTACAGTATAAAGGATTATATTGTAGAGATATAACAGTGATGACTAATGTCCAAAAGTGTTAATATTTTTGTATTAGGTTTAAAGCTGTGCATCTATCACCCTGCTGATAGGATGGGACGCTCCAGAGTGGCTGGCTGAATGCGACCGCAGCGCCCTCCCCTCCCCTCCCGTACCTCTCCTGTCACCCAGGCCAGGGCCACTTCATCAGTCATTGTTAGAAGGCACAGTAACCAAATCAGTCTCGTTTATTATGATGGAAGACTTTAATAGGTTGGGTTTTCCTTGTCCTTTTCCAGCCCTAACGTAATAAATGGACATTTATTCATACCAGGTGGGGTTTCTGTTGTTTTTTTAGCAGCTTTGTTTCACAATGGAGAGAATAGTGTCTCAGGTGCTTGGCAAATTGTATGTAGAAGAAGAAGAAGAAATGATGTAGTTTCATCCAGTTATGTCAACTTTTGTCTTCTGTATAATACAGCTCTTTTAGATGTTATAACTCCAGATAGAAGAAGCGTACCTCTGACCTGATGCTACAGAATTGCTCTTGAGGCAGGCAGGCTGTTCCGTAGGGTTATCTCCTGGCCTTCAGCTGGCAGATCAAATCCCGTTACTGTGAACGCTGACCCTGGGGATGGAGAGGAAGGTCCAGTTTTAGTGCCTAGTCTGCATCTCCACACCACCCCATAGATCTGGCATGCTCTGCTCCAAGGCCCAGTATATTTGCTGCAGGACAGAACTGAAGCGTGCAGCTGGTTCCTCACAGGAAGCCTGTGGTGGCATCTATGGCATCTGTTCTACACCTTGGCTGAAACCATTCTTAGAGCTTTACTCTCATGAGCACTAAATTCAGCCACAAAATTAAATATTTTTAAGATGAGACAAAAATTGGGGTTTTTTTGATGTTCATTGAAATATTACACAGTATTTCTATCCATGTATTATAATGACGAAACATAGTAAGTGAACGTGTCTTAACTATGAATGGTTCAAGTGGATGTAATAAAAATAGTTTTCTAACTGCTTTGTATTCTGAGAGTCTATGGTATTACATACTCTAAATTGCACATTAGGATTGTTTGATAAACAGATTTGACTTTCTCCCAGCCAAGTCGCTACCGAATCTACAGTATCAGTGCTATTACTGTATGTGTGTATTTGGTAGAGCATACAGAACTAATTACACATATAACGAATGCTAATCATCTATTAGAATGAAAGCACAGATTAGTTGTTAGTATTTTTACCCTTGAAGTCTTGAGGGCCCTAAATTTTAGAGAGGCTGATCTGTCAGACCCCAGAGGCGTGTCAATTGATCTACGTATTCTTTTTGAAGATGTAAAATGCTAGGTGTTTGCAGTTCTGTTGGGTGGCTCTTCCACAGCACTGTATTTAGCATGCTGTAAGTGCTCTCTGTTGAAATAGGCTCATATTCTAAATTATGTCAAATGTTTCTGTTCTGTTTGAATATGAAAAGCTTGTATAACATGTCAACAATGAAATATATCTTCTACTTGACGCGTACCAGTTCCTTCTCCTTTGTTCTGGCACCAATAAACAACAAATTATAGTATCTGTTGGTGATCATTTTAGATAAAGTCAAATCAAGCCAATTAGTGGCCTTGTTAGTAGGTATAATGAGCCTATTTCTTGCTAAAAAAGACTTGTGATCTGGACATGCTCCTGCAGGAAATAGTGACCTTGGGGAATATATAAACAAAAGATCTTTTTAAAGAAAAAAGTGTATAATTAAAAGAAGCATATTACAAAAAAAATAAAAAAGAAAAGGAGATTCAAAGTATTTTAGGCAATGCCAGTCAAAATGCTATCCTGATATTTTGAGATGTATATTTCGTCTGATTTGTATTGTTCTTTTAATTTGCCTTCTTAACTTTATATGTGTCCTGAATTTTCCACAAATTGATAACTATAGATTGCATCTAGGCTTTCCAATAAAAGCCAACCCAATGTGTGTGTGTGTGTGTGTGTGTTTGTGTTTACATTTGTTTTTTTTCCAAACCTGTGTGTCAGATCTTGCACCCGTGCTGTTGCTTTTCTCGGTGTATCGGAAGCAGCAAGCCGATCCAGTCCCACTGGTATCGATTCATTTGCTTCACAGTTGGCAGCATCTTTTTTTTTTGACTCTGTCCAACGGCCTCGTCTGCTAACTCAGCAAAGTGAATTGCTCCATGGGATCCCTCAGGTGCCCTACTTAAAGAGAAAACATTAAATATACCTCACAAAGCCAAATCTTTTAGAGATAAGGAAAAGCCAAAGAACAACAACAACAAAATCACTTAGAACTGTTTTCTCGCGTGTCCTCCCGAGTAAAAACACAACAAAACATGTTTGATGATAAATAATGAGCTCGGCACTGGTAGTTACATACATACACAGAAGAGATCCTTCAAGCTGCATTTAGAGCCACTTTGGAGAAACTGCTGACTTCAGCACTGCTCTATGTCAGGAGACTGCTTTGATTTTAGTTGGAACAGGCAGACTTCACCACACGTACTTTGTAGTGACAACCTCGAGTTGATAACATGTTGATCCAGCACGAATCGGGTCACTCTGCTTAGCTAACTGTGGCCTAATTTTGTTATTTAAGAAAAAAAAAAAAAAAGAAAAGAAAAGAAAAAAAAGCCAGTAAGAGAGCTTTTATGTTCACACTTGGGAGGTGAGAGATTTGCATTTGACAAGGGGAAAAAAAAAAATGCCCATTGCCACTGCCACTCTTCAGAGGCACTTTTAAAGTGATGGCTGAAAGACTGTAAAAGAAAAAAATGCCGTATAAAATAACAGTTTTAAGTTATTGTCTACAAGAGAATAGGCTGCATTCGCAGAGAGTCTGAGATGACAAAATGTTTGAATTCTGTTTTCAGGAACAGAAAAAAAAAAAAAAAGATAAACAAATCTTCTACAAGTGTTAATACCTTAGTTTACTGCTAACTCCAGAATGGGAAGCTACAGCAATGCATACGGCCAGCCCAAGAACCTTCAAGAAAATTAGGAAGAGACCAGTGTGTAATTCTTTGGGGATGGGAAACGCAAAGCAAAGACACTTATTAGAAACAGCTTCTAAGCAGCTTATTAGAAGCTGCTTATTTGACACTTATTAGAAGCTGCCAGGGTTAAAAATAAGCCAAAGCAGAGAGCATCACACAGCATAAACTGAACAGCACAGGCACAGTGAAATCATACCCCTAAACTGCAAAGCCACATCCAAACCCACCAGCCTGATCAGCTTCTCATCTACAGCCAATTAGTGCTAGGGACTAAATATGCAATGCTTATAAAATTAAATTGATCTTTGACTGCACACACAAGTTGCTGGGGCTTGGTGAGCCAAAAAAAAAAAAAACATTGAAATGAAAACCAGTTAATTGGTAGGTGCCAATTTTTTTCCCTCTGGGAAAAACATGAAGACACAGTCTGTAGCTGTCATGCTGACGGACAGAGCTTAAGACTTTAATTTTCCCTCTGAAGTTTTGAGCTTTGTGGCAGAGTGACCATACGAGACAAATTTAACTGTGTGAGTTATAAAAAAATAAAAAGTCAAACCACTAATAATAGCTAAAGCCCCGCTCCTCGCCCCCAGGCCATTTTTTCAACAGGAATTACATAAATAAGGATGCAAGCACTTAATTACGTGCACCACCAAAATGTGAAAAATGCGGCTTGTCCATTCATCCATTCCAGGAACCCGAGTGTTGCAGATCACTAGAAATGTCTTAGGCCTTTCAGGCTGGAAAGACAGTGGAAAGTTCACTAGGTGGTCTAAAAATGCAGTAGTGAGGGTGACCACACAGAGTATGGCACAAATACTGGCCTGAGGATTACCTTAACTGCACCAGTCTTTGTACACATGCCTTAAAAAGAAAAAAAAAATTATGAAAAAAAATATATCCTGGCCTGATTTCTAGCATCACAAATGCACGCAATTCTGAGCTGTGCAAGGATGAATAAAGTACGTCCCTAAATGAAGAGAAATATGCTAAATACTGTTCCCCACTTCCAAACAAAGCAAGCTAAACGGCAACACCATCCCTTTCTTTGAGTGCATGAGAGTCTTTATGTGCAATTTGGAAGGTGAAGAACAAGCATCATAACATGGCAGCTCATTAGAGTGTCATGTTTTCACAGAACCTACTTTATTGCATTTAGCAGTTCTGCAGGTAAACTCTCTTGCTGTTAATTGCTGCAAGTTCCTAGGTAAATTGAGTAAAACTTTTAATTTACTATGTTAAAATTCTGTCATTGAGGAATATAAATTTCCAGAGACATATGATTCTTTTTTTTCCCCTTACTATAAACTAAGTCAAAGCTCATAGTAACGTAATTATGCAGCTTAGAGCTAATGGTTCCCACAAAGCTGTCTTAATAAAGCCTTTGGGGAATTGAGGAGGAAAAGGAGGAAATTCAGAAACTGAGAACAGGGCTGGAAGGCGACAACATGTTTCAACTGGCTCTAGTTACTCAATCACACTTGAGCTGTCTGAGGCAGCCAGAGAGCACCCTGCATTAGAGGCATGCGGGGAACTGACTGTTATCCCAACACAATGAAGTATTTCCACATTCCAAGCCCAGGAATCATTTTTAAACTGAAACTGCAGGCATGGCTAACTAATGAACCAGTTAACTTCACATCAATCAAAAAAAAAAAAAAAAAAAGGAAACAAACCAACCAGTACAGGGAAAGCTAAGAGAGGAATCAGTTAAGAATTAAAATCGGAGAAAAACTACAGGCATGCAATGCTGTAGAAAAGTCCCTTCAGTGTTTGCTGATAAGAACTACCAGGGAAAAAAAATGGGCTGGGGGGTGCACAAGACCATAATACGAAGACCAGGTGCTACTCACAATGATGGGGAAGCACAATAAAAAAAAATTAAAAAAAAAAATCAGTGACGCCAACATCTGCAGAAGACAAAAATTGATGGAGTGGCAAATAATGGCTAGGACAGAGCAGTCATACAGAACAATATGGATCACTCGCTGAAGTGAGCCCATTCAAACAAAACGCATTTTAATGCGGGCAGCTCCAGAAGTAAAATATCTCAGAATAGGAAATGCAAATCTTGCTATGAAAGGTATGTAGCCGCCTACAAGAAAGCAATGACTGGAAAGAATGAGGAGCACGTAACAGATAAATAACTCATTGTGAGATTCCAGTACAATAGCGGTGGCAATGAAGAGCTCATAAGGGTGGAGAGGATTAATGAGATTACTGGCCTTGTTAAACAAGGGAAATAGGAAGGCAATGTTATCTCTGCATACGGCACCAGCACCACAACTCTTGCATACAGTCCTGGTGTGTGCATCCTGCTAAAACCCCAGAGAGAAAGCACAAGGAGGTATCACATATAAATCTGAGGCTGGGCAAAAAAAACCACCCAACATCTTGCAGGCGGAGATTTAAACAGCTCACCCAACAACAACAAAAATAACCAAAACGAAAAAAAAAAGGAAAAGCCAAAGGGTGCTGTGACAATAGACTCTAAGTGTCTTTGCAGAGAAAAAACACATTGTAGTGAAGTGCTTCCAAGCAGGGGGAGGAGGGAAGAGGCAGTGAGTGGGAATGCAGTTCTGATAAAATTCACATTAGGAATTGGGTACTAAAGAAATAAACCAACCAAATGCATACAGGGGGCGTAGCTCTGCTTCATAACTTCTAGAACAAACTACAGGAGAAGTAGTTTCCAGAAGATTTTTGGCAAAACAGGTGGCTGTTGTTATGCCATGTAACAGATGTTGGTGATGGGAGGCTGAACCAGGTGATGGCTCCATCCATTTAATTAACTGCACATGAGACACCACTGTGAAACCTTCCTAACTCTGGTAAAAGCCAGCCCAGAGGGTTTGGGTTTGTCTCCCCCTCAACCATTTTCCAATCCTGAAATATCCAAACTCCTTTGATACAGCCTGAAGCCAAAGATTACTCTAAAAGCCCAAAGCTTCTAAATGGTCAGTGCAAGGCTGAGGCATTTTAAAAACACCCCTTGGTTTCCACAGCAGAGATGCGCTGTTCTATTACTTTTAATGGCAGCTGATTATTAAAACTAAGTAAAATAAGCCTCCTCAGTCTCCTATTAAATTCTTTTCACAAGCATAAGTAGGAGCCAGTACGCCAGCATGTTTGTCTCCAAGCCATCCAGAGGCAAGAGTTTAGACTTAAAAATAATATATATATCTACATATATAAAATAAAATAATAAAACCCTGTCTATGCCAACAGTGACTACACTTTACCCTGAGCATTCACTGCCCTCAGTGACCGACTCTGCCTTCCCAGGAGCTTCAAGCCCTGTGAGCTCCGGCCAAGGCGGGACAGTGTCTCCTCAGGCCCCGCTACAAAATGGAGGACCCC